ACACACTCAAAGCATTGTAGTCCATTGCTGGAACCGTCACTCTAAAAACCTAAAGCTGCTTCTCAGTGATACCCCCACTCACACTGGAATTCTGCATAGCTGTAGAGAGTGTCTAGATATTCCTATCTAATCCATGCATGTCCACCAGGTAGTCAGCTAACATCCTATCTAAATCATGCATGTCCACCAGGTAGTCAGCTACTATCCTATCTAAATCATGCATGTCCACCAGGTAGTCAGCTACTATCCTATCTAGATCAGACATGTCCACCAGGTAGTCAGCTACCATCCGACCATCCTTGGATGACTGCATGCGCCATGTAGTTTCTGGATCTTCAAACATCTTCACAAGTGCTTCTGTTTCTGCCTGAAGTTGTTTTAGTTGTGCAACAACTGTGGTTCCTTTTTCTCTCAAAATATTAGGAATATCATCAGAATATTTTGATGCATCCACATCACTTAGATGATCTAATTTCAATTGCAATAATTCTTTTTAATTATATATCTCCTTTACTGAGAGAAACTCAAGGAGCAGAAAGACTAGATGCGAATTCAGAAAATTTGCAATGCGAGTAGTCAAATCATAATCTGCCATCTTGCCAAGGGGGGGAAAAAAGTCCAAAGCCTTTGCACAGTCACTAAAGCACAGGTAAACATCTTTCTGGTATTCTCTGCTTTCAGTCAAGATCCATCTGACATCAGCAATGATATCTCTTGTTCTATATCCTTCTCTGAATCCAGCTTGAACGTATGGCAGGTTCCCTGTCAATGTACTGTTGCAGTTGTTTTTTAATGATCTTGAGCAAAATTTTACCTGCATATGACACTGATATTGTCTGATGATTTCCGCATTCCACTGGGTCATGACTCTTTAGAAGGGACACAAACACGGATATCTTCCAATCAGGTGGCCAGGCAGCTGTTTTCCAAATTTCTTGACATTGATGGTTGAGTGCCTCCAGTGGCTTAGCAGTTTGTTAAAAGATTTCAATTTGTATTCTACTAATTCTCGGAGCCTTGTTCTTTGCTATTGTCTTCAGTGTATCTTGAATTTCTTCCTTGGATTTATATGCTATCCCTGGACATGGTTGAATATCATTCCTTGTTTTTGTTACAATGATTCTGTGTATTGTTTCCATCTTCTTTTGATACTTTCTGCATCATTCAATATTTTGCCTGTGTTGTTGTTGTTAAGTGCTGTCCAGTCAGTTACAATTCATAGCGACCCTGTATATGGTTTCCAAGGAGCATCTGGTGAGTCTGAACTGCCACCTTGTGGTTCAAATCAACCTAGTGATTCAGTGTTTTATTCCATCAGAACTCATTGAATCCTTCAATATTGCAAGTCGGGTTTTGCAATTTTTATTCATTTATTTTCAAGTATTGAACAATATTTAGCGCACCTTTCTCTTTTGGTTTTCTAGTTCAAAATCATCAGTCAAAATAAGGATTGGGGCTGACTGTGCAACACACAATCATTGCAACATAAGCAAGTTCAAGCTGAAGCCGAACAAAATTAAAAAGTCCACAAGAGCCAAACTATGGCTAGAACATCTCCCACCTAAATTTAGAGACCACCTCAAGAACAAAGTTGATCATTAGACACCAATGGCTAAAGATCATAAGAGCTGTGGGATGACATCAGAACATATTAGAAGAAAGCACAAAGTCATTAAAAAGACATGAAAGAGAAGACCCAAATGGCTGTCAAAAGAGACTCTGAAACTTGCTCTCCAGTGTAGAGATGTTAAAGTGAATGGAAGAAATGCTGATGAGCTGAGCAGAATATTTCAAAGGGCAGCTTGAGAAGACAAAATCAAGTATTATAATGAAATGTAAAAAGACCTGGGATTAGAAAACCAAAAAACAAGAAAACGCTCAGCATTTCTCAAGCTGAAAGAACTGAAGAAAAATTAAAGTCTCAATCTACTATATTCAAGGATTCTAAGAGCGAAATACTGAATGATGCAGAAAGAATCAACAGAAAATGGAAGGTATTCACAGAGACACTGTGCCAAAAAGAATGGTCGATGTTCAGTCATTTCAAGAGGAAGCATATGATCATGAACTGATGGTATTGAAGGAAGATCAAGCTGCACGGAAGACACTGGTGAAAATCAAGGCTCCAGGAATCGACAGAATACAAACTGAAATCTTTTAACAAACTGATAAAGCAGTAGAGATGCTCACTCATTTATGCTAGGAATCTGGAAGACAGCTACCTGGCCAACATATTGGAAGAGATCCAGATTTGCTCCCATTCCAAATAGAGACGGTCCAATAGGATGCAGAAACCATTCAACAATATTATTATCACATGCAAGTAAAATTTTGCTGAAGGTAATTCAAAATAGCTGCAACAGTACTTTGACCGGAACTGTCAAAAATTCAAGCCAGATTCAGAAGAGGATGTAGAATGAGGGATTGACGACATTATTACTGATCTTGGCTGCAAGCACAGAATACCAGAAAGATAGTCACTTGTGTTTTACTGACCATGCAAAGGCTTTCAGCTGTGTGGAGCATAAAAAGTGATGAACAGCATTTGGGAGAATGGGTTTTCCAGAACACTTAATTGTGGTTATGAGGAACCTGTATACAGACCAAGAGGCAGTAGTTCGAACAGAACAAGTGGACATTGAATGGCTTAAAATCAGGAAAAGTGTACCCCAGGATTGTAGTCTTTCACCATACTTAATCCAATATATATGCTGAATAAATCAACCAAGAAGCTAGATTGTATGAAGAAGAATGTGGCATTAGGTTCGGAGGAAGGCTTACTAACAACCTATAATATGCAGATGATAAAACCTTGCTGTCTGGAAGCATGGAAAAGCACTTAAAGCAATTACTGATGAACATCAAAGACCACAGTCTTCAATATGGATTGCACTTCTAAGTAAAGAAAAAATCCTCACAACTGGACCAACAAATAACATCATGATACATAGAAGAAGATTCAAGTTGTCAACAACTTCATTTTACTTGGATCTATCATCAACACTCACGGAAGCATCGGTCGTGAAATCAAATGGTGTATTGCATTAGGCACATCTGCACAAGACCTCTTTAGAGTGTGCAAGAGTAACAATATCCATTTGTGTAGTAAGGTGGGCCTGTCTCAACCCATGGTATTTTAATAGCCTCATATGCATGTCAGAGTTGGGTAATGAATAAGGAAGAGAGAAGGAATGATGCATTTGAGTTAAGGGGTTAGAAAAAAAATAGTGAAATATCATGGACTGTCAGAAGAACGACAAAATCTGCTCTGGAAGAAGTATAGCCAGAATGCTCTTTAGAAGCCAGGATGGAGAGAATTTATCTTGCATATTTCAGACACATTATCAGGATGGACCAGTCCCTGGAGAAGGACATCATGTTTCATAAAACAAAGGGTCAGCAATAAAGAGGAAAAGCAACAATGAGATGTACTGGTATATTGGCAGAAGCAATGGATGGACTCACATGTAAAAACAAATGTGAGGCTGGTATAGGACTGGGCCTACAAAACTGACTGTTTTGTTCTGCTGTGCATAGGGTCGCTATGAGTCAGAACCAGCTCGATGGTACCTAACAACAACTGTTTCAAATATTTAAAATAATTTAAAATAATTAAATATTTTAATTGTTTAAATGTTTAAAATAATTTTAGCATGTATACATCCTTTTAGAAAAACAAAACAAGAAAATATGTTGCCATCAAGTCAATTCTAACTCACTGTGACCCTTCAGAACTTAATAGTACCATAGAGTTTCCAATGCTGACTTATTAACAGATCGGTTTAAAGCCAGCAGCCACTCCACAGGAAAACTACGCAACCATCGGCCTCGGTGTAGATGACTGCCTTGGAAGCCTTGTGAAGTCATTCTACTCTGTTCTGTAGGGTGGGTAGGAGTCAGATTCCACTCAACAGCAATGGGTTTTATCTTTATTTAAGTTTGGTGGATTTGAACTGCTGACCTTTTTGGTAGCACCTGAGGGTGTTTAATCTTTGTACCACCTGGGGTTCTTCACTGTGGAGAGTGGGTATAAAATGTCTGTGGCAATGTATTATTTCATTGCTATCCATAGAAAGAAAAGAAATGGATTGATAAAATCAAGTCCCACTTATTACAAGCATCTGATGAAGCACTCTGATAATAAACAGCTCGAATCATGTATTCTACAGTCTCACTAGAAGGTCTTGTATCTTTCCACGGAGTTCTGTAAGCTCCTCGAAATGTGTGCTCCTGTAAGAGTGTTGTTGGTAACAGTTGTCGAGTCAGTTCTGACTCACAGCAACCCTGTACAGGGCTTCTGAGGAGCGGCTGCCTTTGAACTACTGACCTCGCAGTTCAAACTGACCTTGTGGTCTAGAGCTTATCCGAGAGCACCACAAATTCCCATAAATGTATGTTCCTGTATGTGTGAGTGTTCTTGTTGTCGTCTGGTGCTGTAGAGTCGGTGTATGTTCCTAAACATGTCGGTGTACACGCCTATAAATTTAAGTGTACACTCCAGTAATAGTACAATGCTGTGAATGTTCACTACTGTACTTGTAAGTGTACGCTCCTCTAAGCGTACATAACTGTAAATCAGGGTCAGCAGCTCGAAACTATCAGCTGTTCTACGGGAGAAAGATGAGGCTTTCTGCTCTCCTAGATTTATAGCCTCGGAAACCCTGTACTGGGTCGCTATGGGTCAGAACAAACTCCACGGCATATAACCACCACCACCACCACATAAGTCTAAGCGATGAACAGTGTAAGAGAACACTTCAGACTCTATGTATTGCAAGTGTTTTTCAAATGGATGCTAACTGAAGTGTTGGAGGTTTGAACCCAACCAGTGACAACACAGGGGGAAAGTTGTGGTGATGTGTTTCTGTAGATTGTAGCCAAGAAAACCTGATGGTACAGTTCTCTTCTGGACCTGGAGTTGTCATGATGGGGGCTGACTCTGTAGCAGCAAGAGAAGAGTTCACCTCTAAAGAAACGACAACACTAATTTTGTTATTTACCTGAAGATTTTCACAGGTCTCTTGACTGTAAGTCAGTCTCTGGATTTCCGTTGGTGAAACAAGATACAGTGCTTGTCCATTGTTGGTGAAGCAGAATGTTCTGGCTATCCGCATATTGGTAAGTGGCAAGTAATACACATCCAATAGAGGCCTTAAACTTGGCAAACTTGAGAAAGGAAAAAAAAAAAGTTGTTAATGACCACCAAAGCAGGGTTTCATCTCAAACAAAGTATTGTAAAAGGTGAAAATGGAAAAGGGCTTCGAAGACTGACTTCGTTTGTATACCTGAGTAACAGAGGTGAACACTTTAGCAGAGAGAAAATCAAATCTCAGTGTATAAGAAAGTAGCAAGTAAGAGATACTTTTCTTTCAAACCAAGGAAAAAATCTGTGGAATTTTTACTTGAGGCAGGAAATGCTGACTCTGTGTTTATAAAATTATCTGATTCTTACCTAAAAGTCATAATATGTCCGTTGGCACAGAAGCAGGCAAGGCAGATGCTGTTACTCAATGCCACTACATCCCCACGAAGTACAAATGACGTCTCTGTAATGTTTTGCTTATAAGCACAGTTCTGGGTTGGCAGTGAGATGACTTTTGCTTGCTTTTCTGAACAGATCACTGCATACTGGTTTTCGCTGATTTCCTGAGAAGAAGAGGGAGATACCGAGACAGGCCGCCGTTTTTTCAACTTCTCCTTTTCATCTTTGTCTTCAGAAGCATTGTGCTCTCGCCAGGGTTCATAGGCTGCCGGCACTAAGCAGCCGGTGGTATCCAGAAATGCCATTCGCAGGATTGCACCTTTTAACCTCAGTATTGTGCCTAAAATACAGATGCTTAGTCAATAACTGAAATACTTTAATCCACATATTACATGTGTTTATCCCAGCAGCGACAGGTAAATTTTAGATGCTCAAAAGTGCTGGATGCATACTGAACTGAAATTGCATGCTGGCTTGTTGACAGATTCAAGTTTCAAGTTTTGAACCTGGGAGAACATGTCAATACTGCATGCCCAAAGTAGATCCATTCTACTAACAGATATGTCACAATTTACTTAAGCATGATGGCATCTGCAGATATATTTGATTTAGGTGAATAAACAAATGATAAGACATCTTCTCTCCTGTCCAGCAAGTGTCTAACTAAATGAACAGCCTTGCGATATGCTGTCCAATATGGTAGCCACCAGCCATGTGTGGGGACTGACAGGCACCAGCATTGTGGTTTGTCTAAATCTTATTTTTAGCATATGGAGACATTACAGTTTTCTATAGTAAAATATGCTGTTAAGTCACTTTTAAGATTTTAAAGAAGATAATCTATTTTAAGACTATACTCTCAGAGACTAAAAAAAGTTAAATTATTTTAAAATATGTTTTCTACTTTTTTCTCCTCAATATGTACCATCCTCTTGTTTGTGAAACACAGTATCTTGAGGCATTGGATACACATTTTTATAACAATAGTCGTTTTCTCTTTTAATTTTTATATGTACTAATTATTATAGACGTGATCTTAAGAGTTAAAAAATATTAACAATGCACACATAAACAAACAGTATTCTGAAATCTTTTCTCATGTATTACTTCATTAAAACACTATAAACATAAAATGAAATTTTGTTTATGAATCCTTAGCTCAATTCACTGAAGGGACACATGAAGCATTTGCTAGAAGTGCCTGTGCAGCTGGGGGCATACATACCACTTGGAGACACAATAACCGGCTGAAGAAGTCTTTGCTCTCCTCCTGGGGGAAGGCTCAATGCAATGACAAGCACCGTTCCTAACGTAGTACCAACCCATAAGCACGGGGAAGGGGATGAGTCGGCCTTCCGGGTGAACGTTTCACAGAAATGAAGAGCAGAGATTGCTTCTCGAGATTCCTTATCAATGCTGGTTACACTTGAACTTCGTGATCGGCTGAAGGAATTATCTTTTACATCTGAAATAATTTTTTTTTTAATATTGTAAATGAGACTGCTCATGCTATCAAAGATCCCACTTTGGGGAAGGCAAACATGTGTCTAAGTAGTTCATCTGCAAAAAGACAAAATCTAAAGCATAATTTTAATTTCTTTTTAATTGAGAAGAAAATCAATTTACTTAAATGTTTTTTCTTTCTTTTCACTTAAATATAAAATACAAATGGACAAGGTCTCATCCTCAGCACTGAGCTTGGCTCATCAGATGAATTTCTGAACGTGTGAACATCTTGTCTTGGGTGCTGTTCTCTCTGTCAATTTTCCGGATACTTTTCGAATCCTAGCCCTGACCACCTGGTCTTCATGATACTCTGTTCCCTCCCTGGGTAATAGAATTCATGCTGAGGTTGCACTATGAAAGTGTGGGGATTTTTTTTTTTTTTATATTTCAAAAACACATTTAGAAAGGAAGGTTCTACTGCTAAATGCAGAAGCACTTCCTAAAAGCAAGAGGTATAAAGAGAACTTTTGAAAAGTGGGAAATTACCTGTACTCTGATTCTCTCTTAAAGGTTACTATATGATTACCACCCAAATCTGACCATATGAAATTCTGTAATATTAATTAATGAGTCCAAGGGTGGTAGAAATGGCTGGGTGGTTTCAACCCAAGAGTTGTCTTGGGAGACAGAATTGGTGATCTTCCAAAGGGAAAATGGCTTTGGAAACCTGGTGGAGAAGTTCTATTCTGCCACATGGGGCTGTCATGAGTTGAAACTGAATCACTGTCAACCAAGAACAACACGTCAATAAAAATGTAGCTTTCAATTTGCTGAGTGCCATTTTGAGGTAATTACCATTCACCTGAGGAAACTGACACCAAAATGTACAACTGGTACCTGTCTCAGCTCCTACTGCACTTGATACTGGCTCTGTCTGCAAAGAGGGGGATACTTCTAAACCATATAGGTATCTTCCACTTTTCAAAAGTTTGCTTTATGCATCTGTTTGCATTAAAAGAAAAAAAAAATTCAGATGTTCACTTTTAATGGAAAAAAAAAAAAAGAGGCAAAAAGCAAAACCAGCTTTTAGCATTTGTTTAGCAGCAACCCTTTAGAGGTAGTGCAAACTCAGTGAGAGTGGTGCCTTTAACCCTTTAGAGGTAGTGCGAACTCCATGACAGTGATACCTTTAAGGTCCTTCCGCAGGAGCTCTGAGGGGCACCTCAGCATCAAGCTGCCAGAGCTTCCAACTGAGTCTGTAAACACTGTATATTGGTGGGATTTTAGATTCTTTCTGGGTTTTGCTTGGTATGATCTGGTAAGTTATTTTTTCGGTTTAGGAATGCTCCAAAAATTTCCCCACAGAAATGAATGGTAATTGTGTCTTCATTTTACACCACTTCGGCTTATAAAAGGTTTTACAGAAATGCTCTACTTTCAGAAAGTAGGAGAAACATGCACTAACAAATCACAGCTGCCCTGTAAACTACCTTCTCTGTGGCCAATGCCAAATCGCTCTCAAACTTTGGCCTCTTTTTCTCTTAAAGAGTTCCATTTCCATATGCTTTTTGTACTTTTTTCTGTTATATCACACAGCAAACTTAAAAAAATGTCTTCCCTCCAAAGCACTAAATTTCTCTATTTTTTAACGACACCTCTATTCTTTGGAAAAATAGTCACAATGAGTTACAGTTATGAGTCTCCCTCTTACTTTACTAGTACATCTTTTGGGATGCCAAGTTGCATATGTCATTTTATTCTGATGTTCTGTTGCCTTCTGTCTGTTTTCGCCTTCCAGCTACATCACCACACAGTCCCAACTGATCTCCCTACCGCCAGTCTCTCTCTCTCTAAAATCCTGGCCTCAAGTAGTTTCCATGGGGCACAATTATAACCTGTCACCTTAACTTAAACTATTCTCAGTGGCTCCTCTTCTATTTATTTGCATGTTCATAACCTTACTTTATAAGTTACTTATACAGATCTTCCACGAAATAGCACCATCCGATCTTCTCAGCTCTATTCCCCATGCTGCCCTTTCCAGGTCACTGTAACAAATGAACTGGGCCATTGGATATTCTTCAAACACACTCTGCACCTACTATTATTTTTTGCTTTTGATCATGATTTTCTCATTGGTGATCATGCCTTCCCCCTTTAGCTACTACCTATTATGACTATCAGAGCTGTGGTAGCTTAGTGGTTACGAGTTGGGTTGCCAACCTCAAGGTCAGCAGTTCGAAACTACCAGCGGTTCTGCCAGAGAAAGACGAGGCTTTCTGCTCCCTTGGAAACCCTGTGCAGGGTCACTATGAGTTGGAACCGACTCCATGGTACTTAGCAGCACCAACAATTATGACTATACTTATTCTCTACCTCAGATTTGTTTCCATGAAGTGTGTTTCTATACCACTGCGCCTTGTAGAATTGAGCACAGTGCCCTGTATATAGAAGTATTAAACTGATATTTTCTGAAAACAGAGCTACTGTGGAGAGTATCTAATTCAAGTTGGTGTGGCACTGTAGGGTCAGCGCTGGAATTAAAGCCACAGGTCACCCGTTCATACCCACCAGCTGCTCCCTGGATACCCTATGTGTCAGAGCCAACTCCACGGCACTTAAAAACAACAACATTGTAATCTACTTAATTCCCAGCAGCTTCTACTGCTCACATCTGACAAATCGTTTCTCAAATCCCATCCTTTCACTACAATCTAAAATGACTGTTCATAATATTATAAAAAGTAAAAAGAGTAACATTAAAGTTCCTTAAGTCCACTAAATAAAAAAGTGAAACTGAATTCTAGTGTTGCACCAGAAACACAAGTTTTTTATGGTCAAGATTACAGTCACAGAATCTGAAAAAAATCCTTTCCCTAATAACAATATGCAACAGAATTGTGATTCTAGACACAGTGCTTGTGAACCATGAAGCTTCTAGTCATAGGAACAGCACACATCACTTCTCACTTCAGTTTCTAAAACTGCCTTCTTTTATTATAGTTTATAGATTTTGACGTCGTAGAAAAGAAGAACTACTTACTAAAAATAAAGTAATTTTCCATACTGAATGAGTTTTTAATATGATATTGACTTCAAATATATAGTTGCCTATTGTAGTAAAATGACAGAAAATTTAAATTTAAACGAATACATTTAGTGTTAGTTAAAACAGACACAAACCACATGACACATATTTGCAGTTGTGGTGTAGTTGTAAGAATGGAAAATGATGATTACAAGATGCCTTGCAAACATAAATGTCAACGTAAATGACCTGTTAAAATAAAACCCCAACCAAAATGAAAACATTCCTTCTGGTACCTTTTAAAATGACACTAGATGGTTCATTATTATCTATACTTCATTATTAAACACTGTTCATTTGATCTACAATTATATGGCTTCTCAGAAAGAATGAGGCTTCATCAATGTGGGAAAATGCAGAGTCTGAATCATGCTTAAGTGGACAGAGCAAGATGCTTACTCTATCTGCTGAGAATTGTGTGAAAATAAGTGAGCAGATTAACAGACAATAAAATTGAGGCTCAGAGACCTTATCTAAAATGCCCAGGCTGACAGTCAGAAGATGGGAAAGCTAGGGTTTATGCCCATGGGGCGACATTCAAAGCTTTCTATGAGGAGAGTCCAGAGAGATGTGTGGTCTGTGTTATTGCCCATATCCTACAGATTGAAGATCTTGGTTAGTATGAAGCATTCTTTTGATTCTAGACAACTACTTGAGCATGTGAGCTACTGAGCCGATCTAAACTCAGACCAAGCTTGTCCTTAATGCTTCCTTTCAGCTGGTAGCAGTCACAACCTTCACAAGCTCACTGCTTTTGTGTTACTCTCTGGGTGACTTGTGGTTTCTAAGTGCCATCAAGTCGATTCTGACTCATCGAGACCCTATATTGGCTTTCCGAGGAGTGGCTGGTGGGTTTGGACTGCAGACCTTTCAGTCCAGTGCTTATCCTATAAGCACCACACCAGGACTCCTCTGGATGTCTCTCTCTCTCTCTCTCTCTCTCTCT